TGGTACTGAGAAATACCAACTCCAGGAGACATGTTGATTTCAAAAATTTTAAATATGAAAAATGTTTGTGTTTTAGAAATAGAAAAAGTATTGTTATTTGTGTGAAAGAGAAGATGATCTCTTCTATTTTATAAAACTAATGCTATTATATAAAAAACCATTTGGGGTATTGTTTTATGACTGGAATGTAAAAAAGATGATTATATGAAAAAATGGAAAGGATTAAATTTTCAGTTAAAAACTGACAGACTAAATAGTATCTTCTGTGAGGTTTGAAGAATCTGTGGTATCAATGACTGTTGTCTTGTATGGCTGTTCCTGCACTTAATAGTCCAGAATGGGTTTTCACTTGGAGTGGTTGGGGAAAACAGTAAGGAATTCTGAACTAGTTTTCCTTGTAAATGAGGATTCCAGGCTTAGCAGCATTCTGAGAAGAGCTCTGGGTTTTAAAATAATGGTCAGGAAATGGGGTGGCCTCTTTTGCAGCACATTCAAATTTCAGGTGAATGCATGACACTAAGCACTGTGGAAGGAATTTTTGTAGGCATTGTTTCTCTAAATGACATTTTTCAAGGAGGGTTCTGAATTGTTTTAATGTGATTTTTATAGTGGTTTTAAAATTTTCATAAAATCATAAAATTTTATAGCTGGAAAATTTCTTAGAAGTCATCTAGTTCAAGTTTTTATTCTTCAGAAGGAACAAAAGCCCCTAAAATTTAAGAGAAAGGCACATAACATCTTTGTGGCCTGGACAAGACCAGAGCTCACGTCTTCTGATTTAGTGCCCTTTGAACATCTTCTTACTATCAAGATTTGGGTGTATTTATATCTGGATAAAAATTACCTAACTATATAAAGAACATTGCTATGCTTAACAAACTCTAACAAAAACCACTTATTAAAAATTCTAAACGTTATTATTTTGTATATTTCTTTCAAGTTTCTAAATTCAGTGCCTGTTTTCTGGTATGCATAGTTTTCAAATTAGTAAACTTTTAATATTAAACAGAAATGCTGAAGACATAGCAAAAGAAGAAATGGAAAGTGTGTAACTTTTTAAAAAAATATATATTTTATTGATTTTTTACAGAGAGGAAGGGGAAGGGATAGAGAGTCAGAAACATCGATGAGAAAGAATCATCAATCAGCTGCCTCCTACACACCCCTCACTGGGGATGTGCCCGCAACCAAGGTACATGCCCTTGACCGGAATCGAACCTGGGACCCTTGAGTCCGCAGGCCGACGCTCTATTCACCGAGCCAAACCGGTTAGGGCAGTGTGTAACTTTTTTTTTATTTTAATAGTTTCATGACATGTAGGAGAGTTCTATGAATATTTAGTGTTTTGTTTGTGCTAAGTACTGTAGCATATAGAGTAAAGGTCTGACTTTTCAAGGCAAGGCCTATTGTAGCATTGACTAGGAACTGGGAATTTTTTGTTGTCATAGGACAGGTAGTTGCTCGTGTTCTATCTGTCTTGCCTTTAAAAATGAAAGTTTGGTTGTGTTTTACATCACCAAGAGAATCGTTATAGGAAATGCTTGTGTTCAGAGTAGTATTTCTTTGGCTAGCCTTTTTTAGATCACTTTTAGGTTTCTTCCAAGCCTGAATAATGGCCATGGGAGGTGTGAGAGAGAGATTTTTAAAAAAATATATATATATTTTATTGATTTTTTTTTACACAGAGGAAGGGAGAGAGAGAGAGAGTTAGAAACATTGATGAGAGAGAAACATCGATCAGCTGCCTCCTGCACACCTCCTGCTGGGGATGTGCCCGCAACCAAGGCACATGCCCCTGACCAGAATCGAACCTGGGACCCTTAAGTCCGCAGGCCGATGCTCTATCCACTGAGCCAAACCGGTTAGGGCAAGAGAGCGAGATTTTAAGAAACATATTAAGATGCCCACCACTTGGAACTGTTTATGACATTTTGAAATGTATCCTAAATAAACATTGAAAATTTTAAATTGGATAATTGAGATGTTGTCTATAATTTAGAAATCATATGAATAGATGATAGGGCATATTATTTTATTGAAAGAGTTGAATAGGAAATGAATATATAATTTTTGTGAAGTATGGAGTATTGAAAAATAAAAATCAGTGTACTAATGACTACATAGCAGTGATATTTCTGTTAGTACCTATTTTTGGCTTTGGTGGGGGGCATACATTCTCTACTGAAACTCTTCATTCTTTGCTACTGTAGTGCAAGAGGCTCTAGTGAGTATGTGATCAAATAGGAAATCAGTCGGCTGGCCAGATTTAGTCTGTGGCTGTAGTTTGCTGGCCTGTTCTAAGATATAAAGTCCCTTTGGTCCGTGGCACCATGTGACTTTTGAATCTGAATAATTTAGAAAAATGGCTTGACCTCTTATGGGAAAAGAGAGTTAATGTTTTGGGAAAGTCTAGCTTCAATTTTCTACAGCTGAACATTTCCCCCCATTGTCATGTTGCCTATCTCTAGCAGATAGTAAAGTTTTATAAAATCATTTCATTATGTTGGTGATTACACATTTGTTTTAAAACTTTTTCTGGGAGTTGATTTCCTAGGATGTCAGTTTTATGGGTTTTGTTTCCTACTGTAGCTTTGAAATTCAGCCAAGAATATTTCTCAGCCCATAAAACATTTTCACTGTGCTATTCTCTGCCTAGCTCTCAATGATTTGTGGAAATAAAGGGCAAGGCAGCATGGGTAATGGGAATCCAAAGAATTCCCTTCACCTCATCATCCACATTATTTATAGCCACTGTTTCCTCCTACAACAAATAGCAAATTGGACAAGTGTGAGTTCACCACTTTCTGTTTAGAAGTGTCCTATTGGAGGGTATCAGTAATGAGTTTCTGAAAACCGATATTTTTATAAAAAATAATGAATTAAATATCTTTACTTAGGTACTACCTAATACCATCACAGAACCATAGACTTCTGAAGCTAGAAGGATTTATATAATATCTAATATAACTTCCTCATTTATACATGCCAATGATTATGAAGTCCTTAAGGGGACAGTAATATCTTTATTCTCTTATCTCAGCTTTCTAGAGCAATGTCTTCCAAAGAAGCACCACACATTCATTTTTCAAATAAGGCAGTGATGGTGCAGAGAACCTATAGATTGGATTCACTAAGTTGGTTGTTCTCAGAATCTGAGCTCGGCATGTTTTAGTGTTATTTTAAAAAAATTAAACACTGGGACTGTCTTGGGGAATTTTGTGGCCTGCGTTTATGTGCATAGAAGCATCATCGTCTTCATTCTAAAGAAGCCTTTGTAAGGTTTGGAATACATTCACCTGTTAAAGAGCTCCGAAAAGAATTAATGAAGTACTAAGCAATGCTTTTTCAAAAAAATTCTAGATCATAGGCCTTTGGGATATAATTAGGTTTACATGAGGTCATGTGGGTGTGGCCCTCATGGGGGGATTAATGTCCTTTTAGAAGAAACACCAGAGACCTTGTTTTCTATTTCTCTCTGCCATGTGAGGACACAGCAAGAAGGCGGCCATCTATAAGCCAGGAAGATTGGCCAATCATGCTTTCCCAAATATATTTGTAATCTGCTGTGTGTGTGTGTGTGTGTGTGTGTGTGTGTGTGTTTGA